GTTGTTATCTATATTTAATACGTAACCGATTATTTTCACAATGCAGGAAAGGTTACATTGAAGCTTTTACCTTAAACAGTAAAATTACATAAATGACGTGAATCTATCTGATTTCAAATTTTTTTGTCGAAAATTCCAGGTCGTCGTGATTGGTAACACCAAACTATTTCCAGGTTAGATTAGTCTTACAAGAGTCAACAGGTTGATGGTATTGTGCAAGTGTTTGTTTTACAGGGTTTTACTTATTCTAAAAAGTGAAAATTTGTGGGAACGCTGTGCTATTTTTAGAATATACCTCGTTTCTTATTTTTTGTTGTATAAAGAAGTTGAATGAGTGTTTGTACAAATTTAAAACGTATTTTTGTCATACTGTGCTAAATGTGGATTGTGCTCATGGCTCATTGCAAGCAAAGCCATGGTTTGTGTCGATTTTTACCTTTTTTCATTGCTTTCTCTTATTCTTTACACCAAACTTAAAAATAAAGCTCTTTTCATGTACCGCGACTGATCTTTCAAGCAATTATATAATATATTGCTTATTTTAGTGCAGCTAATTAATTAGCAATTTAGACTGATTGCGCCTGTTTTCACATTTTATTTATTCAAATACCTTATTTTTAGCAATTCATGTGACACAAAGTTTCAAGAGTTATTGTATAGGTTTCATTAACATATTACAAAATAATGCTTACGATTAAACTAAAGATGTTTTGGGAACCCAAAATTCCAGGACCGGATTCAGTTGTTCTTATTTCCTTGTATTTATTTAGTGCAGCACGCTGTAAGTTATACTATGAATGCATTATTGTTTAACCGAAAAAAACACATGACATAAATAAAAGTAAAAATCAATGTTACGCATCCCATTAGGCTTTTGAAGTAATTGTTTACTGATTTGATTGCGCCAACTGATGATGTACGTGTCCAACATGAGTCTTGCTTTAAAAGGTAGGTATTCAAATGCATTGAATTTGACTCTTCATTGCAATTCAAGATTATGATGAAAATGTAAAAAACCTAAATAAACAGATCTCTACTTCAGCATATTTAAGTTTACGTGCTCTCTCCAGAACCCTACTTTTGTGGGTTTTTAACTTACCTAACCTAGCCTATTTTGGCTTGTTGTTTTTGAATAGTACTAATAAATAATTTTTGTGTACTAAGAGTGGATGCAGTATGTTTCATAACTGAAATCATATATATACCATGCTACTCAACAAATTTGAGTATGCGACGTTGACCGGAAAACGAATTATGCCTCGACGTATGTAGCATCTTTTCGGACTCTATCACCTAGTAGCAGAGTCCCTCCCCAACGCCCCGTCCTGTGCCGGGCTTTGAAATACATTTTATATGTATTATATTTCAAAGTATAATCACATTGAATGTGGAATACTTGTAAGTCATTAGTTGTGAAATAAACTCTATACATACTCCGGTGAAGAAGGCGATTATTGGGCCTCAAACATTATATCCCACGGCACTATGCGCCTCAGGGTATTAAAGTGCTCGACCAATAATGGCATACTACTCCTCCAAGTTATAAAATGTAATGAAATTAGAGATACAGTAAGATACTAGGAAAGTGAAATAATTTACTGTATCGCTAGATTTCCCCAAACCGATGGCTCTTTCCTCTTTCCTTCTCTAATCGAGTTTATAATTTTTTTTCTGTGTTAATATTGTGGAACGTTTAACGTATTTTTTGAAATTTACACTTATTGTTATTTGTATTTCACACTATATTCATCATTTTTGTAATTATTTATTTTACTTTTGACGTGCCAATGTAGATATTTGTATCTAACTGGTTAAAATAAAGAAACAAGGAAAGAGGCTGACTTGAGGCTTGTGTTTTCTGGATATATTGTTGCGTCACTAGACCTCATGTAATGAAAGCTGTGGGGTCACATTTATACACGTTGCTTGAGGATTAAGTGCTTTTTGGTTTTCTGGTCAATCGACACTTTTCTAACAATATGTTATGTACTGAACAAGGTTACCATTTGGACCGGAATGCATACAATAAAGAATAATTTCAAACGCATGTGGTTTCATTTTCCATACATATATATATATATATATATATATATATATATATATATATATATATATATATATAGTCGGAATCCTTTCTGCGTGTAAGAATAGCTCTTTTGAAGTTACAATAATAAACGTTTGCCACATTTTTCCTTCTTCAGTCGTTCTTCTTGCTTCTTGTGCTAATACCCCTTTTATCCCAAGAATATTTTCTATTTCCCCATCGCACGTCAATCTTGATCTTTCTCTGTATTACATACCCCTGCCATAACTCCTTTACCTGTCTTCCCTCATTCGTCCTGTTGACATGACCAAACCGACATAACTGATTCTGTTCTATAATTTCTGTTACTGGAACCTTGTTACTGTCCAGGTTTCTGGCCCCATAACCAAATTGGAAAAAAGACGGATTTAAGGACCTTAATTTGCAGTACATGATGCATAATGCTTAATTCTTTCGTTGATTTCAATTTCTTCCCTTCTCTTAGAGTCCCTAAATACTTAAATTGTCCTATCTGTTCTAAAGTTCTGTCCTTTATGGTTACTGGATCATATTCAAACACAGGGGATTTTTTTCAAAGATTTTGGAATTTGCACGATAATTTTAAAATTTCCAAAAGTACAATAACTACTACAGTATGATGCATGAGACGTTCAATTAGAAACCTTACATTACGATGCGACGCCTACTGACTGATGGTTGTTAACCATGCATTCCTGAACGATACAGAGACTCGGTTCTGTTTCAAATTAGCAACAATATGGGGGTCAGCTTTTGCACACCTTTCTCTTCATATGAATAAAACCTAATTCAACTGGCCTGTAGACATGAATATCACCATGTGATCACAGAAAATGTATTAGCGCTGCTGCACAGCGAAAACAATTACAATATTCCGGCTTCTGTTTCCGATACAAGTACTAATTTTCAATTTTACGTTAGCCTACTTTACAGTTGTTTTGGTTCATCCATTACTCGAAAAAGCCCGTGGATATAGGATCCATTTTGCTTTCTCTGTGCTTCAACGGGTATTGTTACACTAATGAAAGGTACGCAGGAAAATTCTGATTGGAAGGGTTATGGGTGCGAGGAAAGCCAGCATAATGATTTTACGTAAACGAGTCTTATCCTCACATACGCATAGTAATAGAATATACAGTGTGTCCCACATTCCCTTCTCGGCTCCTGTTATACCTACAGCAAAGGTTAAGCGGGGAAAGTTATAGAGGAAACTAAGTGCAGTCGATAGCCAGGATCAGATTTACGATCGGCAAATAAGATAGCGTGTATGATATGTTTCGATTGTCTTATGTTTTCTCGTAATCTGCCTCAACTATTTTTTCTAATGGTCGCCATATTGGATTTTTCAATTTATAAAGAGAGCGTAAAATTTCTGGCCTAGTAATGTCTCTCAAGTGAATAAAATATTAGACTATCATCGAAATATCATCACACGTATTATGTATTAATTTATTTCTAAGGAGGCCATGATGATTTGTTAGAAAATAAAATTAATAAGTAACGCATTTTTTCATCTAGGAAGGCTCTGACTTTGACGTTGAATAATTCAATGTATTAAAATTGTGTTTTAATAAGGAGTAGACACGTTTTCCCTCGTTGAATTCAAAACCTGAAAATGGGCCGTTTCCCTTCTCAATTGAAGAAAAGTTTGACATGTTAGGGCTTTACTTGCAGTCACACAGAAACGCCGACATTATCTCAGCAAGGTGCTTGGAGATGTACCCCCAACCACAGCAGCGCTATAAGACCCAATTTAGAAAAATAGTAATTAATTTAATACACCATGGAGCCTTCGAACAACCTAGAAGCGAATACAATATTTAAAATGGGAATCGCAACAGAAACATTTTACAAGCTATCACCGAAATCCCTAGTGCATCAGTAGGAACTATAGAACAAGAAGTTGGTGTGTCAAGATCGAAAGTGTTAAATGAGAATAAGTACCATCCATACAAACCTAAAATATTTCAAGCACCTAAGGAAACTGATTGTCCAAGGCGAGTGCGCTTCTATGAGTGGTATACTAGGAAGTATTAAAATCCCGATTTTGTAAATCATGTCGATGTGGTTCGATGAGGGTAGGTTTATGAATTGTGGAGTTTTCAATAAGCACAACACTCATCAGTGGGCTGTGGAAAACCCTCTCAAAGCGGCAGAGAGGCGCCTACAGACCAGATTTGGAACTAACGTTTGGTGTAGGACCATTTTTGTTTGACTACAATCTAAACGGGCACATGTACCTAGAGCTTTTGCGCAACCATGTTGTGCCGGCTTTACGAGCTAGTCTAACCGAATGTGACTTTAGAAGAACCTGGTTTCATCAGGATGGATGTCCGGCTCACACCATGCAAGTCCGGAACTTCTTAAGAGAGCAGTTTGATGAAAGAATGATTTCATTAAGGCCCGTATCGTCAGTCGTCCCTACAATTAGGGTAAAGACAAACAGAGCTGTTTTGACCGACACGTTTATCAAATTGGTGCCCGAGTCGTATGCTGTATAATATATCATTCGTAGTACAAAATACACACAGCGGTACTACGCGTTTCGTTTCATGCGGCGGTTTTAAAACAGCTTCGGTTTGTAGTTGATCTGAGGAATCGAGTCGGTTTAATTCAAGTGACGCGTTGAGTCTTTCAGCGTCATTACATTACTCTGTTCACACACGTACGTGTCTCGACTCGTTTTGTATAGAAATGGAAGCACACAAAATTGATATTGAAAAGCTAATTAGCGAAGGAGATAACCGACCGCCACTTTGGGATATGAGGAAAAAGGAATACAGCGATACGGATATGAGAAGAAAATGTTGGGAGGAACTAGTAAATTTGTTTGCAAAAGAAAACAGCACAATTGACGAAAAGAAGCAGTTAGGTAGGTATAATAATTGTTTATAATAAGAACAAATTAACAACAATTTTTATTGGCTATCTTTATTATTTAAACGGTTTTTTGTTTTACAAAATATTGAGCGTATTTATCTCTAGCGGATAATGCTAATGGATTTCCTCTATGGGTTGTATCTGGTGCTAGACCTTCAAGATTGATATTTTCATCTAACTTCTCGTCATTCGACCGAGTGCCATCCCTTGTCCTTATAAAATTATGTAACGCACAAGCAGCTTTAACTACAGTTGCATCAATAGGTCGATGAAATATACGCCATTTGTTGGCTAGAATACCAAAACAGCATTCAATATATCTTCTGGCTCGGGTTAATCTAGCATTGAAAGTTTCTTTCAAAGGTGTCAGTTGTTTACCTCCAAAAGGCCTAAGCAAATTTTCGGATAAGGGGAATGTCTTATCGCCAACTATTATGAAAGGATATTTTTCATTTGTTTCATCAATAGCATTATGGTGCAGGGACTCCCAATGTATTATCAACTAATCGTTCATAAAGTTCAGAATTTGTGAATATGCCAGCATCACTTGATTTAACATATGATCCCACTTCAATATACGTGAAGCAATAATTGGCATCGCACATCGCAAACAGTACGTAGAATAGTACTGTTTATAATTATAAGTAGTACATAGACCCACTATTGAGTGGCTGCTTAGTCCGAATATGTTTCCGTCTATTGCTCCTATACAGTTGAGAAACTGTGCACATGTTTGAAACACTTTAGCAATTTCTATCCATTTCTCTGTTGAACATTGCGGTATAACTTTGTCTGCTAATTCAATCCATATTGCTTCGCATACTTCTTGGATAATGTTACTAGCAGTAGATCTACCAATACGAAAATTATAATGTAATTCGGCCAAAGAGCAGCCCGTAGCCAAATATCTAAAATGAAAAAATGCAGTTAATTAAAACGTTATGTACGTAATTCTATTTTGTTACAGGTAATGAATTGCATAAAAAGTGGAAAAATATGCGGGACAACTTTTCAAGAGATATTCATCAAAGGAAAGGAAAGTCAGGGGCTGGAGCTTATCGGAAAGCTCCTTGCGTTTATATACAGAGGTTACAATTTCTCACAGATTTAATACTGCCCAGACAAACCACCAGTTCATTAGATGATGAATATTCATCCTAATTAGATACAAGTAACCCTGAAACGCCCACTTTAATCTATAAAGAAAAGTATAATTCTAAAATTTGCAAAAAAAGGACACACCCGGTCGAAGAGAAAATATTACATTCACTTGAAAATTACGAAAAAACAGCAAACAAGACGATGACTGAAGATGACAATTACCACTTTGCACTTTCCTTAGTACCTTCACTTATTGCACTGCCAATACATTTAAATACAAAATGCAGGATTGAAATAATGCAGACTATTTCGAAAAATGCAACCAGGACCAAAGCAAATCAGACATCAGATACACCACCACCTCCACATCAGCAAACGTATTCCATAATCCCAGTCAGTCAGGACTTGTACAACATCCACAAGAGCTGTATGGAGTATCTCAGAATGCCGCCAAACAACAGATAAACTCCACACTACCTCCATCTCCTTCACCAGCTGAATCAGTTAGAAGCTATTATTCCCACTTTTCGGAAGACGATTCCCAGTTTAGTATATTTAATATGAATTGAATAAATATACTCTTATAATGTATGAAAGATTGTGGAATAAATTTTTAATCAAATGAGAAACAGTTACCTAATTTATTTGCTTACCGGATAGTTATTACTAGTTTTTCCTCTGATGTTATCGCATTTCTCATAGGTGTATCTTTCTTTGCTAGTTTTTCTCCACAAACTGCTAATAACTCGTAAAAAGTACTTCGCGACATCCTAGTAAAGTTGAAAAACTTTTTTTCATCTCTTTGTACTTCAGCAAACAATGGATGAAAATGACCTTTTCGCTGCCTTTCTTCGATGATTGGATGTATCCACATTCTTCTATTCCTTTTTTTCTTTTTAATAATTTTCCAATACAAATACAGTAGCGATAAATACAATACGTCATCCATTCTGCAAATCGAATGGATCACTGCATAAACCGCTGAAGAAACAGTTCAGTGTGGATTACTAGAACGCGGCCGATTCGATATACGCGTCGGTCAAAACAGCTCTGTTTGTCTTTACCCTTATTGTAGGGCGCGTTTATGGCCTCCTTGATTGTCATATCTTAACAATAGGAGAGACGCTGACGCTGACACGGGACGAGTGTAATCTAGAAATTATTGAAGGAGAGAAAAGAGTATGACAATCAAGGAGGCCATAAAGGCGCCCCACAATTGTCATAGTTTTCTACTTCTCCGTGTGAGAACTCTATTTTGAGGTTATGTCACAAACACCTATTTGCATCAAATTGTACTTGAAAATAAACTAATAGCAATGACGTAAACTAGTTAATTGTACAGAGAGCCAAATAAAACGCAAGATATTTAAAACAATCACAATATATCAACTGATTAAATAACACATAATGTTCCACAATAAAAATGTTCCACTACTGGAGTGCCAGTTAAAAAAAGATATTATCTAAAATTGCCGCACAAAATGCTTAAAATGTAATCTCGCTAAACGTCTAAACATAAACCTAGCTTGCTTGTGGTCTACTTCCAGTCAAGTCTCTGGGCGCAGCCGAGATGAGCTCAGCTGTGGCCAGTACTGGACAGAGACGTAAGGAACTCACAAAGTACTCAAAATGTATCGTGTAAAATATCGCTAGAAAGAGAAAGACTGCTTAAAAATCTTTTCTCTCCCTTTATGAGACAAAACGTCTCATTAAAACACTCGGAACTTGAAAAATCATGTACATTTGAAAAAAAGTAAAACTAACGTAAAAAGAAAAGAAATATATATTAAAGTAATATACCCAAAAAAAGTTATCTCTTGTTCTAAGAAAAAGATATGGCAGCTCAAAAATCAAAATCACGATCAATGTATGTAAGCTCAATAAAAAGTGCCAATATAGGCATTGCCCTCACTTGAACACCAAAAATGCCAAACAAAATCAAGTACCCTAAGAATTTCAGTCAACAATAATCAATATATGTACAAATATTTATAAAAGAATCAATTAAAATTATATTTTGCATATTTACATCAGGGTTTTTCCTTAAGAGAAAGGGGTCGTTTGTCATCGAAATCGGCTACAAAACAGCTACAAGTCAGTGGTGGTGGTGGTTTTCTTCAATAACTTTCCACTAAAAGGCAGCACATATTGAGCAAGCTTCTTCTGGACATGCATTGATGCACGTGGTTAGATGGTATAAATAAGAAATTATCGCTGAAGAGGTACAAATCCCAAAAAATGGATATAGTAGCACACAAACAACAACCAAAACAACTAATCGTGAGGTAGGTACAAGAAAAGATGCTACTCCATAAACTGGTGATTGGGACCCAATTTTTCAAAATCTGGAAATCAAATGAAGGACTTGCACACCTTAGCCTACGCTTCAACAGGAAATTGCGGACTGTCAGTTGACTGTCAATCACTGTCAAAAGTAGGAGGGCATTGGTTGCCGATGAGCGGTACCTCGGCCCGTATCGTCAGTCGTCCCTACAATTGTAGGGCGCGTTTATGGCCTCCTTGATTGTCATACTCCTTTCTCTCCTCCAAACATTCCTAGATTGCACCCGTCCCGTGTCAGCGTCAGCGCTCTCCTATTGTGAGGATATGTTTTCTTTTTAAATTGTAGGAAATTTCAGGCTAATAAAACATGATATAACTCAAAAGCACAATTTGATGCAAATAGATGTTTGTGACATAACCTCAAAATAGAGCGCTGACACGGAGAAGTATAAAACTATGACAATCAAGGAGGCCATAATGGCGCCCTACAATTGTAGGGACGACTGACGATGCGGGCCTAAATACATATTTCAATATCTTGGCTTCCAAGATTCCCTGACCTTTCACCCTTGGATTTATACTTCTGAGGTCACACAAAGAATGAGGTATACGAATTTGATCCTCCCGCGACCATAGAAATCCTGAGTCAAGGAATTTTGAGCATAGCGAGAAACATTACAGAAATACACTAGGTTGTACGAAAAACAGTCACCAATTGTCAAAAATGTCTGGATGCAAATGGACGTTATTTTGCAAATCTGTAAATTAATACCCACTTAGATAATTAGAATTTACATTCAATTAAAACTTTGTAAAACGTTTGTTTGTTCAAGTGTAAAGTAAATTTATGACGATTTTTCTGACTTGTTTTTTTAGCACAGTCATAGCTGGGAATTTGACCCAAAATACTTGACTGGTTGAGAAGTCGATATCAACGTGAATACTCTATTGAAGATTCAAAGGGTTTATGTTTCTTATGCCTTACTCATTAATGCTATTTTTGGCAAATAGATCCTTAGAAAAAAACTAATACATAAGATTACGTGTGATGGTATTTCGAAAATACTCCAATCTTTTATGCACTTGTGAGACATCACTAGACTCACACTCTTTTCAGAAATCAAAGTATCCAATATGGCGGCCATAAGAAAAATGAAAGCTGAGGCGGGTTGCTGGAAAACAAGAGACGATTGAAACATGACATACATGCTATCTTATTTTTCTTAAAAAAATATACAAATAATATCAGATTTTGACAGCTGTCAAATCAACCGCTTTGAGTTTACTGGCAAAAACCATATTCTGCCATTTTCGGTTTTTCGCTGATATCTTCAAAATCAATTGACCGATAGTAAATCTGAAGCCGGCTGTCGAAAGCACTTCCTGTAAAACTGTTCGCATTTAATATTTGCTGTAGGTATAACAGGAGGTGAGATCCCCGTATAGATAAGCGAATCTGGGACACACTGTATACTTACAATCATTTCTCAAGCGTGTATTAGAAGTAATATTAGTTGTGGTGGGTAGAAAAAAGGGTGGCAACTAGGCCACCTTTGACCCTTTCAGCCGACTTCGAACTACCAACACTGTACTACTCTACAAGCAATCTACTGGAAACTGATCATTGAATAAGCTAGCTCCAGCGGTGTTGCACCGATCTGACACGTAATACATACATCATACAATACAAAATCCATAGCTTAGAATTAACTTTCGAGGCGGACCAGTTAGTAGCTCGACGCGCAAACCACTCGGCTACGCAGGCCCCCCGTGTATTGTAAGATAACGCATTTGAGGCTCTGCGGTACCTAGGGATGCATCAAGTAGCTTGACTACTTGAAAATAAAATTACTTAAAACAATAATGCTTAACACGGCTTGATTTTTTTGGTGTTCTTGACTTGACCTCAAGCATTCTCAAACTACTTGATAATTCATGGGAAATTATATTTTTGTTCTATCAGTCATAGTTTTTTGTACAACCAATGAGCCGCATTTTGTATTTTAACGCAAATAATCAGGTAGAAAATTGTAAATTATCAGGAGACGCCGTGCCGTGTACACTGCCATTTCAAATGCTGCATGCAAACAGCATTTCCAACCAAAGAATGTTGAAGATAAAACCAGGGGCCGGCACATGATCAGAGATCAAGGATTTTAGGCAATATATAGCTATATTTTCGTATAGTAGGGCCGTACAACACAGATACACAGGTTTTCTATAAAAGTACATTAAAATTAAATTACAAAAAAATCAACTCAACAACCAATTTCACATGTTTTTTACAAGAACTAAATATACTCGTATAATGTTCATACATCTTTAGCATGTTATATGAGTGTCGTTCAAAATTCGTTCAGTTGACACTTCCACTATTTTTAATTTTAACAGCATTGCCAAACCAAAGAATGTTGAAGATAGAATCGGGGGCCGACACAAGATCAGAGAGCAAGGATTTTAGGCAATATATAGCTATATTTTCGTATAGTGGGGCCGTACAACACAGATATACAGGTTTTTTATAAAAGTACATTGAAATTGAATTACAAGAAAATCAACTCAACAACCAATTTCACATGTTTTTTACAAGAACTAAATATATAATGTTCATACATCTTTAGCATGTTATATGAGTGCTGGGAAAAAGCTTAGGCTATTTGTTCAGGGCTAGGAAGTACTTTTCTTCACATGACCTCCTCACTCTGTCCAACGCCCTGATCGGACCTAGGCTCGAGTACTGCTCACATGTTTGAGGTGCTGCCGCCACGACTTCATTATCCATGCTTGATCTTGTCCAGAGGAGGGCTGTCCGACTGATCAATGACTCTTCTCTAACGGACAGTCTTGGAACCCTTTCGCACCGGGGGTGGGTGGGCGATCTAGCTCTCTTTTACCGCTATGCCAACGCGCTTTGCTCCTCAGAGCTCTCCTCCATGATGCCGCCGCGCGATCTGCCTGTCACACAGACTCGCCTGTCTGACGAAAAAAGGTTATTTTACTCACTTCAATAGAGGGGATACTTCCATGATATGGACATGGTGGAGCAGTTCACCTCGCCGCGCATCTCGCCTGACATCCTGGTAAACAACTCTTCGGGCATCTCGCCACTGCACTCATACTCACACCAGCACACACCTAGAGCATATTTATTACGATGCAGTTTACTTCGCTAATCCCATATTACCTTATTTTCAAAAACAGAATCAATAGATGTTCTTAAAATTTCTTGGTTGAAAGGTTGAAGTACTGAAACGACAGTTTAAGGTCCATTTCAGTAGACTTCTTCGCGGCGGTCAAGAAATAACAGCGCAAGAAGCAGACCTATGTGAACTGCTATTCACGTCCGTGCTGTGCGAGAGTAAAATCATTACGTCTTTACCTTGGAGAGTAAAAGTGAAATAACACTTAGATCATACTGTAGACCAAAAAATTGATATTCCCTGAAAAGAAAAACTTTGGAAAACACCTCATTATTCCACATTCACATAAACCAATGGCACCTAGATTGTCCTTGATTTTTTTGAAAAAATTTTTTTCTTGTGTCTTTATATTCTGATCAAGATTTTTTATGCGATCAAACTCATCCTTTGA